AACCAGGGCCCTCTGGCATCCCAAGCCAGTTCTTAACCAACGCGCCACTCGGCCGGCCCCCAGATTTGACTTTTAATTTAAATGGTAAATACGTAATTTCATTATATATAAAGCAATGAATTATCATAATAGTGTTGGGAATAACAAAAATATCACAGCAAGTGACATGGGGAGCAGATAGGAAGACAAGGCCCCCACCCCCAATCTTCCTCAGTAGCGCGGCTAGTTCCATCACTGCTGGATCTGGGGCCACTAGATCCCAACACCTGCAGTCAAGTCACCCCAGCTCTCCAGTCTCTCTGGTTGGAAAGGGATTAATTTTAACCACAGGAAGAGTAAAAGTGAGTCACTGGGGCACTCAAGTAACCTCTCAGGCTCAGTTTCCTCACCTCTAAAACGGAGTGTTTTCCTCTGTTAGTGATTATAGAACCGTGCTTTCAGAGCGCTGGTGGTGGGATGGATAAAGAGTTCCAGGGACCCTCCTCAGGAGTTGCAAAGGGGGGGTGAGTTCAGGTTCCTCTTCTCCACCCCAGCTTGTTTACTTCCGTTCCTCCCTCCTCAATTTGTATACCCCCCATACATGTGATGCCTCTGGGAGAGATAAGTGGAGGGCTTCTGGGAGAGATGGGTGAAGGAGCCCTGCTTCCTGGACTTCGTCTGGTGGAGGGGGGGGGGGTCCCTTAGCATCTCACCGAACCCTGGGGTCCTCCAGTGGTCCTGCCCATCCTTGTCTCATCTTCAGCACACACATGTTGTGGCAGCTCTGAGGGAAGCGGGAGGCACTGGCTACGCAGTGGAGCTGGGCAGTCAAGATTCTTATTCAAATTCCAAACTCCTCCCCAGTATTTCTCTTGGGTCTCACATTCCCCAACCCACTTTGCTCCTACTTAAGTGACACATGTTGAGTTAGAAGTTGAGATGACTTCCCAAGGGAAGGCCTATAGACAGGTACTGCCTGTTTTAACTGAGGTATGATATAATGAGGTGGGACCCAGCAAGGGGCTGGTGCCTGGGAGAGAGTTGGTCCTGGAACACAGCCTTATAGGGCCCAGAGATATAGGACAGGGGGAGGAGGAGGGAGTGCATTCTAGAAGAAGCTGTGTGTGTGCAAAGTGTGTGTGCAAGGACGGGAGGTCTTGAGAGGGTGCAGCTATGGTGCAGCTGGAGGGCAGTGGGAACTCAGGGGTTTTCAGGCAGGGAATGAATCGTGGAGAGGTGGGAGGTAGGAGGTGCGCCCACCAAATGTCCGTGGAGAATGGGAAAGGCCACTCTGAAGACCTTTGTGTTTATGCAAAAGGCTATAGGGGCCTTCAAGTTTTTTCTAACCTTGCTCCTGTTTAAACTATGCTGTTAAAACCTCTACCAATGCCCTCCCACAACCCCCAACTTGCAGCATATGAGTGCAAATACACACATTGCATTGACAGCTGCAGATACAACTAGTCAGCTGTTCTGGTTTTTGGACATGTTTCCTTTCACCTGTGTTTTTTAATTCAATGAATAATAGGCAATTATTATTATTGTTATTATTATTATTATTATTATTATTATTATTAACCAGAAAGCTTTTAATCCTTTTCTCTCTGGACATTCAAAGATTACTTTTATATATCTGTAAAGAGCAGAATATTCCATGGATGTATATGTGGGGTGTATGTGTGTGTGCACATGTGTGTTCTCCTGTGACATAATGTATAACACACATAATGTAGGTTACCTACTGCCTTCTTGACTGCGAATTAGTTTCTTTTACTAAGTTAGTATAAACACGTGTTTGTTATTATAGTAAACACTACAATAAACTAAGACTAAGAACCTCTTTAAATAAAAAATAGTTCTAGTAAAATTGGTTTAAATCCTGAGTCAAGCGCCAGCTTTTGAATGTGAAAATCGCGCATAAAGATTGATATGATAAACTAGTTTATCTTGTGAAATAAAATCTTCTTTGAGCTTAAGTGTAATTGTATTTACTAAAAGTGAAAATCTTGTTACCGTGGATATCTTTGCCACCACAGAGAAAAATCACAGCACAGAAACAGGACTGTTGGAAGGACAAACGGCCTCTCCAACCAAGTCGCATGCAAGACCGAGTGCCCCAGCCAGGGGACAGGACAGGTGTAATCATTACCCAGTGAGCAAGACAGAGAAGATAAAACGGGAGACATGCCAGAGCACACATGCCACAAGCCCCCGAAGCCACGTCACACCAGGCAGGCCACCCACACTCACATAAAACTCTAGCACGGCCTTGGGTCTCAGCCTGAGGGAGGGCAGGTCACTGAAAGAGCGGCTGCGGTGCAGCTTGGCAAAGAAAGAGTCTTGCAAGGCACTCAAGACAGACAGCCGCCGGGGCTTGTCTGGTGAAGGGTGCAACCATCTCTTCAGAAGTCAAAGCAAGATGGGGAGGAGGTTAGTGGAAAGCATCAGGTTACCATTTGTGTTAGCTTTTTAGCAAGCGTTTCTGATTAAAACATCCACTTCTTTAAAAGGCTAATCTTAGAAAATATTCAGAGAAGTCTACATGTTATTATCAAAGCAACAGGTTAAGTGGGTGAGGGGAGAGGAAAGACAGAGAAGAAAGGTTCACCGCCTGTGTGCATACAGCCAAAGGCGTCAGGAGTGTGTCTTCTTATTCCTGCTTGATGAGGGTGAACTTTAAGAACAACATTATTAGGAGTTACTGAGAATCCCTAATGCGTCTGTCAAGCACTTCAGATATGGGGTGCAAGCATTGCCTCAAGCTCATGTCTCTACTCCAGAAATCACACTGAACTTACGAAGAAGGGGTGATCTTTGAAGGTGGGCGTTTCCGGGGTGCCCTGGCTGTATATGGACATCCTCCTCTGGAGGGCTGCCGCCTTGTTCCCAGTGCCTGAAGATGGGGTCACGTCCTCCACGTCAAATGGACTGGAAAACAACAGGTCCCAGTGAAGGCACATTGTTAGAGTCACCTATAGTCACCAGACTGCAGGCCAAGAAAGCACCTCATTTTACTAAAGTCGACTTTAACCAATGGGAACTGGGCTGGTTTGGGCCAAGTTGGTTTGCCAGAAAATAAACCAAGAGAAAAGAAAAGTAGAGCAGAAAGAAACCTGAGTCTAAGACCCACCTAAGGGACCACAGATTATCATCACAGCTTTAAGCATAATTTATCTATACACCTAAATATATCTCTTTCTCATTAATATTAGGAACATATTAGTACTTGCCCCAACACAGATATTGAAGGAGTCTGTAAAAATTCTTTGAGGGGCAGGCCAGGTGGCGCAGTTGGTTAGGGAGTGAGTTCTGAGCAACAGGGTCGCTGGTTCCAGTCCCATATGGGCCAGTGAGCTGCTCCCAAGCTGAGCTGCCAACAGGCAGCCAGATGGCTCAGCTGGTGAGACAATGTTGCCGGTGCGACTCCTGCATGGGATGATGGGCTGTGCCCCTCCCCCGCAACTAGATTAAAAGCAGTGGCTGGACTTGGAGTTGAGCTTGCGCCCTCCACAACTAAGACTGAAGGACAACAACCTGACTTGGAGCTGATGGGTCCTGGAAAAACACAATGTTCCCCTTCCCCAATTCCCCAACACTGTTCCCTTCCCCAATCCCCCAATAAAATTTCAAAAATAAAGATTTTAGGGGGAATTGGGGGATGGGAACAGTGCTGGGGAATTGGGGGAAGGGGAACAGACAAGCTGCTGTCCTTTTGTTCTTCAGTCTAGTTGTGGAGGATGTTGCTTCACTGGCCCATGTTGGTATTATCATTGCGCGCTTCCTGGGTGAGGCAGATCGGTCACCGGCCTCTGAGCGGCCGCTCACGGCGGCTCTTGGCAGCTCACACCGGCTGCCAGCCGCTCATGCTGGCTGCCGGCCACTCACAGTAGCTTGTGGCAGCCCACTGCAGCAGGGGCTGCAGCCTACGCCCTCGCCGGTGACTCATAGCAGCCCAGCTCCAGGTCGAGCTGTTGTTCACCATCTTAGCTGTAGAGGGCACAGCATCACTGGCCCTCATGTGGGATCCAACCCAGGGCCCTGCTGCTCAGAGCTGGTGTCCCAAGCCAGCTCTTAACCAATGCGTCACTCAGCTGGCCCAAAAAAATAAATTTTTTTTTGAGCTTTGTAGGGATAGACATTTGAACAATACAAGAGATTATTAACAATAGATTACTGTCCAATTTAAAGAAAGCACTCAAAAATAGAATCCTGTTCACTTCAGTTGACACAGAGCCTCTTGCGTGATTGAGAGAATAACAGTCTATTTACAGTGACACCACTTATCATCATGCCATCCAGTTTATCCAGCCAGAGGAATGATCCTGTATTTGAGGTGTCCATGACCACAACTTAGGAGGAAGGGCTGGGCAAAAAGTGCTGACGCTATTCCAATAACAAGGCAACAGGGTATCTGCTGCTTCTCTTCCCTGACCCTCTATATTGGAAAGAAGAACCTGAACACTAATACTCAACACATCATTTGACTTGGTATTACACTCAGGGTATAACATCACATGTGAGCCATGTATGCATTTAATAACATAGCGTGACCTTTCTCATGGGGTAATGTCAGAAAACCACTTTCTAAGTTCACAGGTTCGACAAAATGTATCTCCTCTCCTTTGGAAGAATTCTGTTTCCGTAAGTAGTGTGGAGGGACTGAAGTTATTCAAAATTTCCCAGAGCAGTTAAAGGTATAGGAGATAAAGATAGATAAGCAATTAAAATAGCATAGTGAGAATCAGGATGTTTCTGAAGTAAAACTATTTCATTTTTGACAGTTATTTTCTTCAAAATTCGTTTACTGGAGAGACATATTTCCTCATCCATATTTAAAGGTAGAAAAGGTGGAAGGAGGCAGAATAAGAGCAGAATGGTGATAAGATAGAAGCTCTTCCTATGTTAGCAGGTGTGAACATCATGGGAGAGCTTGTTAAACAGAGTCTTGGGCCCTGAGAGATGTAAGTTTGGGGTGGGGCCTAAGAGTCAGTTTCTGGAACAAGTTCCCTGGTAATCCTGGTGGTCCATGTACCACCTTTGAGCAGCACTAGCCTGTAGCGCTATGTGGTGAAAGAAAAAAGAGAAACTTACTACCAGGTGATTTCCAGGTTCAGTTTGATGGTGCCAAGATCATTGATGTCAACAGCCACCACTTGAGGTCGGGCTGCAAATAGCTCTTTGGTTTCACAGGTCACGCTGCCCACCAGGAGATGGGTTGCCAGCCCTTTGACTTCTGTGACCTAGTAAGAGGGCATGAAGGAAAGGCCTTAGAGGAGAGCAGAGGAGGCAGATAGGACACTCTTTTCCTTGTTTACTCCTAGCCAGTTCAGTAATTTCTTTCGGAACATTGCTGAAATCAGAGGTGGGTATTTCCAAAGCCCACCTTGTACTGACTTTGCCCCCTCGATATGAGAAGGGCCGTTTTCGCCATGTACGTGTGGTACAGAGAGGAATCCGTGGGACAAGGGGACAGCAGGCAGAAGTTATGGGCGAGGTCCGCACCAGTGGGGCCATCCGGCTATGGCACCAGGAGACAAAGACGGTGACGACAACACTGTACCTTGATAGAAATTAGTCCAGCGATCAGGGGCAGGAACACCGTTTCCTCTCCGTCCCAGCTCTGCTTGCCGTTCACTTCTATTTTGCCTTTGAGCTTCCACCTCTGTCGGCCATACTTCATGAAAATCTGGGGGGAGGACACAAACGGCGCGTTTCACTGCCTTGATTGACCGAACACTGAGATCAGAGGGGAAGTAAAGGAAGCGGCTGCCGCTGCTCACTTCTGCACTATCTTCACTCCTCCCTCTTAGTGGCCACCGTTCCAGGTCTCTTGGGCTCTGGAGTGTGGAGCAGATGACGAGTGGGGAAGAGATTTCAGAAGGGGGAAAGTTCTGCATCTCTAAGGTGGGGGGTGTGAAGGATGTTCTTTAGTAAAGGTCATCACACGGCGCCCTCTGCTCATTCATGTCACAGTTCTTTCTCTGGTCAGTTCTACTTGAATAGAACAGCCATTGGACTCACTCTCCACATTCTCCAGCTCCTCTAGGGAGACAAGAGACGATCAGCTAAAATCTACCTAGCAGTCAGAGCAAGAAATAAGACCTCCATCTTCTGGATGGAGACAGAGCTGGACGAGGATTTTTGAAATCCCACATACTCTGGGGAGAGGGTGTGCAGTCTCCCCTTAGTCAGACAGCTTTACCGTTTGGGGAAAAAACCCCGCTCCCCAAGAAGTATGATTATAGGAGATTTTGGAGAAGACAGATGAAAAGATTATGTAAGTTCCCTTTTTAAGGTGGAAAAGATAAAAAGCTTTTCTACTTTATGGAGTGTGTGTGTGTGTGTGTGTGTGTGTGTGTGTGTGTGTGTGTGTAGATAGATATATATAAATTATATATATAAAAAATTTATTTTTTATTATAGTTCTGATATGTACACTACAGATGGTGCCAAAAAATGTATATACATTTTAAGAAAGGAAAACTGTATGAAAGTTGTAATACTCAATATATACTGATAACATGAATACAAGTCACATTTGACTTCTGCAATTTACAGGAGGTGCTCAAAGTGGTTACCATCAGTGTCCAGACACTTCTGATTATGGCAAACTACTAAGTAATACATACATAAAATAACATATCTTAAAATGTATATACATTTTTGGGGCAACCCGATATTATATTAGTCTCCGGTGTACAACATGGTGATTCAACATTTATATACCTTAATGTGGAATGTATTTTTGTAAAGAAACATCTAAATACTATTATTCAATCATGATACTTATGAGCAGTCACGATCCTGGACTGGATTTGGATCAGAAAAAGAAAACTGTTATAAAGTACAATATTGGGACACTTGGCAAAATATGAATATAGAACGTATATTGAATGACATTAGCTAAAGTGCCAATGTTAAATTTGCTGGTGTTGAGAGCTGTGCAATGCTTACATGAGAGAATGTCCTTCCATTTGTGAACGAAAAAGGGGCTATGTAATAAACCTGACAAGTTCAGGGGGCCACATGGCAGGCCTGACAGGCTCAGTGACCGAAAGTAAACACACAGGATGATCTGATCACAAATTCCTAGCTGGGCAGGCCATGGCAGGTAGTCATGTCCCAGGCGTGTAGCTTCCTTAGCAAAGGTCAGTCTTTGCCTTAAGTGAACCATGTCCATTATTCTTGTGCAGTTAAGATAACATACCTTTGAAATGTCAGAGTAATTTTCTTTTCTAGACCCCTCAAAAAAACAGCTATAGGCACCAGACCATGATTTGTCATTGGTATGTTGTTCCCTGAATACCATCTCTACGTGCTGTAAATGTTAATTAACTATCCTGTATCCACCAATGTAAAAGTATGTGTCTCTTCATTTTACTTTTTATCCAATCCCAGAGATTTCCCCACTTCACTTTCTCCCACCCCCTTAATCTACCACCAATGGATTTCACGTAACCCTGTTTACGTCTCTCCTTTGACTCTAATGTATAAAATAAGCTGCAAAACTGCTGTTCTCCAGAGCATTTTCTCTATTGATTGAGATCTTGCTTCTGGGCATGTCCTCAAAAATTTGGCTCAAATAAACTCCTGTAAAACTCTTCTATAGGTTTGGACATTCTTTCCTTGACACATTCTTAGAAGAATTTGGGATGAGGAGTCATGATGTTTGCACATTACTCTAAAATGGTTCAGCAAAACAATAATCACAATAGTAATAATAATAATAATAATAATAATACAGCAAATATGGCATTATGTTAAAAATTGGTGAGTCTAGATGCAAGGTATGTGGGAGGTCTTGTCTCAATCTCCAAACTTTCTTACTGGCTTAATTTTTTTCAATATAACAAATGGAAAAAGATAACTTAAGAAGCAAAATAATGACAACTAACAACCCCCCCCAACCCCCCCACCGCCGCCTTCCCCTTTCAAGTCTTTAGTTCCAACACCCAGCCCAACACAACACTTACTTCATATTGATCTCCAGGACAGAGGCGTGCGAATCCAGCTAGACCTGCAAGCAAGAAATTGGGGTATGAAGTGCAGAATGCATTTCCCCTCTTTACTAGCACATACTGGCACATTGATAAAACTCAAGTAAAATGTCAGAAAGTGTCAGACTTTTGTGAATTCATGTAGTTATTTTTGGGAACTATCTGTGGGAACAGCTATTGTCGGAATTCCATTGATCACCGCTGGGGGGAAATTCCTGGATGGGGGGATGAAAGGGGGCTTTCTGCAGCACAGGAGGCTGTTCAGTGGGGGCTACAGCTGCATGTACCTTTGGTTGATTTAAGGTCCAAGTGGATTCCAGGATCATGGAATTTGGGCCCCAACGATAGGTTAGTTTATTTACCTAACATATTCCCATGTAAATAAATGACTCTCTTGGTTTTCTTTCTGTCCCAAGATTTGTGATTTCAAATGAGTGCCTTCCATTTCAGTTAAGATTCCAGGTACTTACTCCCCTGGTCACTCCCCAATTCACTCATTCCTCTGTTTTCCTTATCCTATTTGTCTAGCATAATTAAGACCTTCTGTGTTAGGAAATCACTGAAGATGGATTTGTGTCACTACACAAAACTAGTGATTAAGAAAACAGAATCAAGCCAACCAACCAAATGACAACCACCAGCACCCCCAAAATGAAGGTGGGGCTTCTCCTCTACAATACCATCCAGCAAATCATTTCTAACAGGATCTGCTCATTTTGAGACCCAGTGTGACATCTGGTGCAGCAGGAAACACAAATCTTTCAGACTAGATGGCCACTATCTTGGGACATCTCAGGAACCCAGATTTCATCTGTCTTTTTATTATTGAGAACTCACAGTGTGTGAGGATCTATGCTTTGGGGGCAACCACCTAGAAATTAAGAAAGACTTTATAGATACCCATAATACAGACCAAAATATGGTTACAGCCCACAGGAATGAAACAGACAAGGGCCTGTAGACAGTAAGGTGGAGTTAAATCTGAGGTTGATTTCTGTTTTATCTACCAGCTAGCCTACTTTGGATAATTTACCTAACTCCAGTTTCTTCACCTTTAAAACAGGGATAATAATGTCCACCTCATAGATTTGTTTGTAAGGACAATAAGACGGCGTCTGGCACATAGTAGGTACTTAATAAGTGGTAATAATTATATATCCAGGAATGTGATGATACTATTTATTGAGCATCTGTCATATATGGTTCATTTAAAAGATGTATTCTATATGAAAAGATATAGCAAATTGACACATGTGAGGGACGACAACAATGAAGAAATGGTAGAAGGAAATTTTTGCTTTTTTCTGTAGTTTGAATTTTTATAAGACTGTTTCCTGTACAATTAAAACAAAACAAAGAAGCTCTATCTCCTTTAATGTAGGATAGTTTCATGAAGGAAGGTAGCATTTAAATAACAGAATTTCACCTCAGTAATATGAAGGCATGGGTGAGAAGATACCTCCAGGCAGGGTGAGTGCCATGTATTCATTCAACAATATTTCCTGAAGGCCTACTGTGTGTCAAGGATGGATAAAGTATGGGGAAGAAGGCATGCGAATCATATGCGCACAGGGAACGCAGGGGACCAAGTTGTCTGTAGAGGTTTATCAGTAATCCCTGCTTTACTGTAATAGCTGTTCCTGTGCCAATCACAATGCAAAGTCCTTTATCCTAATAGGGCCTGGAACACAAAGTTTAAATGAAGAAATAAAACAAATTTAATGAAAATGGGCAAAACTCTTCAGCACTTTTTCATTATCTGGTGAAAAAAACCATTCAAATTTTGTGATAAAAAATTCCAGTTAAGAATTCAGTACAAACATTTAGAGTGAACTTTTAGTAAAAGTATTTATAATGTAATACATATTAAGAAAAAAATGGAGAATACAAAACTTTATGTAGAGTATGACCTTCATTACATAAAAATATATCCACAAGAAAAAAAGTCTAGAAAAACATACAAACTTAAAAATAAGTATCTCTGCTAAGGATCATGGAGAAAGCTAAATGTTTGACATTTAGTAATTTATTTTTTTTTCTCAAATATCATATATTTATTTTGTAAGAAAAAAGACATGAAAAAGATCACACAAGTTGACAGGCAGCATCCACACAGTGAAAAATGCTGGTTGGATATTCATGACAATTTTAACAAAATTTAGCACTAGGTGGAGCAAATTTAAATGACTTTAAATTTTTTGGTACATGTGTCCCAATATTATGAAAAATGAGAAGGTGCCCCTTTAAAAAAGTTAAAACAAAGATCTGAGAAAACATGAATAATCCCTCTATTTTCCTACCACTGGCCTAAGAGAAAATAATTTGGATTAGCTGGTCAAAAAGCAGCCCTAAAGTTCTCAGATTCCTCACATACAGACACTCAGCCTCCTCAAGTTGCCACTTATGACCTTTGAATCCTTAGTTGTTTTTATAGTGGTTTACATATAATTTTACCCATGTAAAGATGACACAGATGGTGTCACACAACGTGTTTTTCCCTCTATGAAGGGCCCTGTGAAGTTGTGAGACTGTGGGACAGTGAATCGGCTCTCCACCTGTCAGATGGACGGACGTTGCCAGGGTTGAGGTGATGGCGAAACTCCAGGCTTAGAAAAGCACCTGCTGTTGCCTTTTTCTCTCAATAGATGGCAGCAACCCAGCAGCTCCTCAGGCCTCCCCACCCACGGAGCCTGACATCCATTGAGAACCAGTTTTCACTAACAATTAAAACATAACAAGCCACTTAAAAATATCTTCTTAAATAAGAGCATAATAAAGCTGATTTTTACTAATAATTTTCTGGAGGATTTAGCCTTTTTTTTTTTAATACTTCTGCAAGAAAACATAATTGACTGGTTTTCTAATAAAATCCGAAGTGTTCTTTAAAACCTCTGCAAATTAGTTCACAATTCATTTGTTGCCTGTCTGCCTGTGCAGTGACAACAGAAGCCTGGTTAAAAACAAAAACAAACAAACAAAGAAAACTGACCTGACATCAGTGCTAGATAAAAAGGAAAAATTGGTGAGTAAAAGGAAAAAATTCTTTGAAGCTTTTCCTTTCAAAATTACCAGAAATTTCATACTTGAAGAACTTATCCGAATGGAAGAAAGGTACTTGGCAGTGATGTTCTTGAGCGTCTCAGCCCATGTTATTAAAGACAACTTTCTTGGAATTGCTTTAGTGGTATCACACTGATACACTGATTAGAATAAGAGTGTAACCAATGGCGATAGCCAGGCCTAAAGAGTTCTGGTGCTCTGCTTCTTCAAGTTCCACCTGCTTGTGTAAGCCACACATGACACTGGGTACAGAACTGAAGCTAACAGTGGGGCAATTAAGTTACAGCCTAATGTCCTCCAAACCTGGACAAGGTTTCTTTCCAACTCTGGGCTGAGGCCTGCTGGGATTCTCACAGCTGGGGAAAGCTTCAAGTTACTCAGCAGCTTTGTGATTACTGTTGCACTGACTAAAAAGCGTTGTTTTGTCCACGCAAAAGACCATTGTGGAGGATGGGCATGAGGAGGTGGTGCGGACCAGGGAACTTTTATTTCCATGGTGCATTTTCCTGTAGCTTTTGAATGTTTCACCCTAAACACGTATTACTGATAAAACAGCTCCTCTACACCTTGTTTGGAAGGCCCAGATGCGACAGTTTGCTGATGTCCACCCTTTCTTCCTTTGCTCGGGGACTTTCCTGCCAGAAGGTCCCCATTTTTCCTAGTTCTATAATGATCTTTTTTTTCCCAAGAGTCACACTTTCTACTTCAAGGAAAACAGTCTTGCAGCTGAACAGCCAGGAGCTCCTGTTACAAGCCTTACTGATTTATTGACCAGGAATAAATAATGCAGATTTATGAGCTCACTGATAGCTCTTCTCTCTCTGGCGGCCTGACCTGCCCTGATAGCTGTAGGGGCCGGCACAGGCTTTCGGATATACACACTCCTTGGAACTTAATTGGAATTAAGTAATAACTGGGAAAAGAACTAGCTTTCCCTAACATTTTTTTTAATTTTATTGGGGAATTGGGAAAGAGGAACAGTGTTGGGGAATTGGGGGAGGGGGACAGCCAAGTTGTTGTCCTTCAACCTTAGTTGTGGAGGGCGCAGCAAGCTCTGCTCCAAGTCCAGTTGCCATCCGGCCGCCCGTCGGCAGCTCACAGCTGCTCAGTTCAAGGTGCCCGTGTTCAATCTTAGTTGCTCTTAGTTGTGGGGGGCGCAGCCCACCATCCCATGTGGGAGTCAAACCGGAAACCTTGTTGCTAAGAGTGCAAGCTCTAACCACTGAGCCATCCATCCATCCATCGGCAGCTCAGGGCAGCTCAGCTCAAGGTGCCGTGTTCAATCTTAGCTGCGAGGAGGCACAGCCCACCATCCCGTGGGGGAATCAAACCAGCAACCTTGTTGTTAAGAGCATGCGCTCTCACCAGCTGAGCCATCCTTCCACCTGTTGGCAGCTCAGTGGCAGCTCAGCTTGGGCGTAGCTCACTGGCTCATGTGGGAATCGAACCAGTGACCCTGTTGCTCAGAGCTCACACTCTTAACCAACGGAGCCACTCGGCTGGCCCGAGATCACACCTTTTAACCTCCATTCTGGTCAACAGTTCCTAGGTCTGGTGCTCCCTCTTTAGCCTGGCATTTAAGGCTCTTCAAAATTTAGCCCCAATTCTCCACTCTTCTCCCAATGAGCCTTCAGCCTCACCAGACTCCCTGTCATTTCTGAACATGCTGTTCCCTCTTTGGTAAATGCTATTCCAGTGCTGTTCACCTGCCAGAATGGTCCCTCTCATTCGAACTCAAAGTTGCATTTGCGAGCCTTCCTATCCCAGACAGATGAGAGGCATCCTTCTCCCTCTCTCCCCCAGGCTCTGGTCACACTATTGGCCTAGTAGGTCACTTATTCCACTGAATTAAAAGGCACTGGCTAATACATCTATTTTCTCCAGTAGACTGTGTGGGATTCAAGGCCAAAAACGATCAATCAAGACGCAGCCTAGTGCTTGGCCAATTGCAGGAGCTCAGTAAGTGCTTGATCAATTGTCTTTATCATTTTACCTCCCCACTTTTCTCTCCCCTCCCAACAAAAACAGTCGTCTATGTGTTGGGGGAGGGGCAAAAACAGAAGTGTGGACAGATGTGGCAGGAGGAAGTTGGGTTACCAGGTCTGAGAATGTTATGAAATATCCTGTTTATGTCAATACATATGTTGGGGTGGTTATTTTTACCAGAATGAATAACATTTAAGAAAGTAGCTAATTATAAATTTGTAAGATTTCTTGGCAATGTGAGAGGGCTATCCTTTATTAAGAGTGAGGAGGATTTCCATGGGGATGTTATCCTGGAAAGCCTTCACAGATGTAGCTTCTGAGTTTTTGTGTTAGATTAGGGAAATGGAAGTGAGATAAATCCATAACGAATAAGGAGAATTAGTGTCAGGCCTGAGAGACTCCCCTGGAAGAAAACTTGAGACTAGATTGAAGCTAAGGACACTGATCAGATAGGAAAGAGATGACAACATAGAGAGACAGAAATGGGAGAGCAGGAGCCACAGAAAGTTCTCAGTCCATCATGGTAACCCATTATAGCCAGTGCTATTGTGTAGCTGGGTGGCCAGGTCCCCCAGTGGATAGCAGGCCCCCAACATCATCCTCTCACTGACCACCAGCCTAGAAGTTCCAGATCTGGTGGGTAAGGGGTCCCTTTGCTCCCGCCCCACTACCAGGTGCCTGTGTGCCAGGTCGAAGAAGACCCTCCCATAGGAGAGACTATCTTTTGAGCAACAGTTTGTTGTCCGCTCAGCTCTGTTAGGACTTCCCTCCTGACATGGAGCTGGGGTGGGATACTAGAAGCCAAGGGCCCTGGAATTCAGTTTCAAGTTTGACTCCAGTTTATGGCATGATTTCCAGGGCAGATCATTGACCCCGCATTTCCCACTGATAAAATGGGGAACTTATCACCCCACCAAAAACTGATGCACTTGAAAATAGTGAACACCAGAAATGGAGGAAAAGTGGTAATCATTGTATTAACAGTGGGGAGATTTATGTGACCTGAATCGCTCCCAAGATTCCAGGCTCTGTGACTGTGTGAGTCTGCATAGATGGTGCCTGAGTGTCGGGAGCAGGAGAGGGAAGCATTTGTTGCTGAACACTGATTCAGGGCACTTGTTTTCCAGATTCAGGCTGCTGACAGAATCATCCTGAGTTTTGTATATTTATATCTCATTGAGCAATATTGACCAAAGTGTCCACTTGTGTACATTTTTAAAAATATATATGTATATGTATATTTTGGCATATATATGTATATATGTATATTTATATACATATGCCAAAAAAATGTACACAAGTGGACACTTTAGTCAATGTTGCTCAAGCAGTAGTTCGCCGTAATCAGAAGCATCTGGACACTGACAGTAACTACTTTGAGCACCTCTAGTCATTGCAGAAGTCAAACGTGACTTGTATTCATCTTCTGTTATCAGTATATATTCAGTATTACAATTTTAGTACAGTTTTCCTTTCTTAAAATGTGTATACATTTTTTTGCGCTCTATATATTAAAAAAATTTTTTTTAAATGTTTTTATTTTTTCATTAAAAAAATTTTTCAGCCCCCCCCCCCCCCAACTTGCTGGGATAAGAGCAAGGCCTGAGTGGTTTTAGAACCACTGACTCAGGTGAGGACCAAAAATGAAGAGAATGGACCTAAAAAACTGAAAAAGCACAAATGCTGACCTCACTCGTAAAGTGTTGAGACTTAACCCTGAATAACAAACTGGTTCACTATCATACCTGCTAAAGAGCAGAATGCACCGTTTGGGGGCTGAGAGTCAAGGTCATTTTATTGCAAGTGTACGCATGTCATGCAGAGTACTTGACAAAACCGTTTTCCTCCTGAGTTAGATGACTCATTCAGAAATGAAGCTCTCCCGCTTCTCTATTCTCCCTTAATTGCAAAAAGGGCAAGAGGGTGATTAAATCCTCATTAGCAAATAAGGGCTCCAGCTGCTCAGAAAGCTCAGCAAAAGCTATGCACGAGCACAGACCTCTCTGCTGTTGTCAAATGGGCCAAAGCTCAGAAGAAAAATGTGCTTGCTGTGATGGCTGCTTACTTGACAGCCCTGCAGGCCACTGAGCTATAAATGTGACAGAACCTGGGTGATGCTCTACCTTCTAAAGCCAGAGTTTTTGAAAGATGCTGTAGTATAAATCAATAAAGCTTCTAGACCGAAACTTTCTGGAGAAAGGCACTGGGAAAAAGAAGAAAATGCACAGTCCCTCTGGGGGTTTAACAGGAAAATAAAATAAAATTTAAAAATTGGTAGGTAGTTTACAAAGAGCATGGAGCATAAAGGAACAATTTAAATGCCACCACAAAGCAGCTGAGAGAGAAGTCTAGAATGTGTGAAGTTCTGAACGACAGTGGTTTTTGGCAGGATAAAAACAGGGAGGGGTGTTTTAGATTATAGGAAAGCTAAAAAGATACACCTCAAGACCAGCTGTGATACATGGACCTTGTTTGCATCCCGATTTGAAAAAACTAACTGTACAAAGCATTTTTGAGACAACTGAGGAAATGGAATAGAATGGATGAATAACAAAGGCCTATTCATTTTATTTGATGTGATAGTACTTAGCATTGTGGTTCAGTAAGAAGATGTCCCTATGCTTTAAGAAATGCATCTTGAAGTATACAGGGGTAGACTCACATACCTAGGTTTTATTTCATCAAAATACTTCTATTTCATCAAAGGAAAAACAAAGAGAACAGATGAAGCAAATGTGGCAAAATCTTGCTCACTGTTAAATCTAGGCGATGGGCTTATGGGGGTTCATTGTAAAATTCCCTTCACTTTTGTGTATGTTTGAGATTTTGCCATAAATATATAAGTGTATAGGTAAGTCAGGATGAGAAGGCTCTAGAGCAGCGGTGCTCAACCTGTGGGTTGCGACCCCTTTGGGGGTCGAACGACCCTTTCACAGGGGTCGCCTAAGACCTTCGGAAAACAAAAAGATATTTACATTATGATTCATAACAGCAGAAAATTACAGTTATAGAGTAGCAACGAAAATAATGTTACGGTTGGGGGTCACCACAACATGAGGAATTGTATTAAGGGGTCGCGGCATTAGGAAGGTTGAGAACCGCTGCTCTAGAGCATCAATAAATTAACATAAGCAGGGAAGATCAAGAGTGAGTGGCACACAGTGTCTTTGCAAGGAAAAGAAAAACAGTGTGTGCTCCTGAGCTTCAAAGAGCTCTGTGGAGATGGTTCCTCACCCTCCCTGAATGGGACAAAGAATACCTTTCATCTTGATGGAGAACTCCCCCAGCAGATTCTCCAGCTCCGCTTCAATGGTGCACATATTCTGTGAAGGGTACGGGAGACAGGCATTAGAGCTAAGCTTCTTTCACACAAGAGCTCAAAGCACGTGACATTCTAACGGCTTGAACAACAGGAAGCATTTACCTGCTTTCAATGAGCTATACAGCACTGCCAATGAAACATTCTTAACAAAATGGTCAACCTAGGTCTAAGCAAGCTCTTGAGAGCATAGAACAAGTTAAATTGTGTCACAAATAGATGAATCCAGAATGCGGAATATTTTATAAGATCTGTCCTGGATTCTACAAAAAAGCAATATCATGAAAAAAGAAATTCCAGAGAAGAGAGGCCAAATGAAATGTGTTAACCGAGATTACATCCTAATTTGAAAGACAATAAACTAAAATAGTTGTAAAGAACACTATTGGGCCAATAGAGGAAATTAGAAAATGCACAGGATATTTGTTAATTCTATAGGATGGCTGTTAATTTTCTTAGTTGTGATAATGGTATGTGGTTATGCAGGGGATACACGTTACATAGGTTACCACTTAGAGATCTGTGGAAAAATGTTTATGAGGGGAAACGTCATATCTACCACATACTGTCAAATGAGTCAGCAAAAATTAAAAAAATATATATATGAGCTTATGAGAGAGGGGGAAAGCAAATATAGCAAAATGTTACCAATTGTTAAATCTAGGTGAAAGCATGTGGTGTTCAATATACTAGTCTCCACTTTTTTGTAGGATTAAAATTAGGTGCAAAAAGAGCTCAGGGGCTCAATTCTACTCAAAGTGAGTGAGTCAGAGTTCCTGCTGCAATGCCACAGCACCCCGAAAATGATGCCTGGGTCTGACCAGAGTCTGTCTTCTCCTCAGTCGAATGTTAAGGGAATAGTAGAGGCAGAAGGAGCGACACCATTTATGCTTGTGGTTAGATATGTAACTATCCCCACCCTACTTCCTCAGTATCTGAGGACCTAAACAGAGCAATCAGAGGTAGAAATCAAAAAGGAAAAGTGCTGTGGTCAGGGGAGGTCCCAGTGAGGTTCTTCTGCAGCTTGGACAGTTAAGCTTTTGGTGCCACCTCTGCTATCCTAAGCAGCAGTCCCCATCCCAGGCCTTGGGCGGCATCTGCAGGCTTCTCCTGCAGCAGTCAGCCTCCTTCAAGGCTAGGGGCTTGGGGAGGCCACTTCTAACGCACAGCCAGCTCAGTGAGCATGGACAGAACTGGCTTCCACTTGAGTATATTTGCTGAGGATTGATTTATAAGGCTAGAGGTTCTGATTCTTATCTGTTTCTGTTCTACTCCAAATGATCTCTCTCCTGAAAGCTCTTAGTACCTCACCTAGCTTAGCAAAAAGCTGGGGGGAACTTCCGAAGTTTGAGCTCTGTGCAGCTTGAAAGCTTTGAAAACAGTCTCAGTATCGTAAACCAATTTTCTTTCTCAGAGCACTGGGCATCTCTGTGAAGGAATGCATTATGGTTTCCAGAAATATCAACAATGCTATCATACATGTCAGGATTGCTGCCAGTGTCTTTGAAAAAGACAGGGGGGCAGCTAGTTTAACAGTGGAGGACATCCATGATCAGAATTTTCTTCCATCTCACCCATGCACCCACTGGTGAATACTGCTGCACCTGCAAAGGCACCCAGAGCATCCTGCCCTAAACATCCTTTGTGATAACATCCTGTTTGTTGTTCTTGGTTAAGGGAAGGTACAAAATTACCTGGTGCCAATTGAGGTCTGAAGCTACCGAGGTCTGGGGCTTCTTTTCTCTCTAAGGCAGCCCTACCTCTTGCTGAAATCACACACTACATCTTTGAGTTTGTGAGCAAAGTATGATGCCATGCCTTGGCTCTTGACCAAGGGTGGGTATTTCTGAAATGACCTGCAAATGTTCTAGAACAGGCATCTCCTACAGGCAGCGAGTCAGTTATCTGCTTGGGGACTGTGAACAGCCTCTATAATTGGCAACCGCTCTTTTGATTTCAGCGACATACAGAAATGAGGTCTCATGAACTAGGGCTGATTCTAAGCCAGAGGTTCTCAACCTGTGGGTCCATCAACTTGGGTGGCGGAAAAATGTCCAAATGTCATGAAGATGGAAAACAAGCCACAGCAGTATTACTAGTACCTATGATTTGACACTGACAGAAATCATATATACTTTCATGTCACATCATTTGTTGCAAATACTTTGAAAAATCATTGATATTTTTATTCCTTTGAATTTCATAATTTCAAATAACTAGAGCCACTGATAGATCAATTTAATTTGATGTGTTAATAAAGCAACATAGTACTATATCACACATTTGATTTTTAAAATATTTTAATAACTGTACTGATAATATTGAAATAATTATATTTCAATGTAATTTGTTTCCTTTGAATTCCTACGTGTTTTATTTTCTGCATTTAAAAAGCATTATTCTGAAAGAGGCACTTAGGTAAAGAAGCCCAATTTTAGACCATGAAGAGACAAAGTTGGTGTAGCCAAGAGGCAGTGCTGGAGTGCACATACAAAGCGATCCTGTGCAAGTCATCCAAGAGGTTCCCCCCCACCCCCACCCTAGCCAATCCCAGGGCTGAGACAGATGCCCACCTCTGGGAATTGTCCAAAGACCCCCATCAGGCTGATGACTTCCGTCACGAAATTTGACCTCTGAACAACGACTCATGGAATAGTGAGAAGTGCAGCTTTAATAATTCAGTCATTTCATGAAAGACATTGGTATCAGGTGACCCAGGGCAAAGCAAAGCCCTCCCTGTGTCATGTGTTTGGGCTTAAGAGACAGTGAAAAACCAGGACAGCACACATCTGCTCAGTGTTCTTTGTCTCATCTTCTTTAAGATAGAAGGGAAATGTCTTATAATAAACTAATCAGAGGCAGAAGACTAATCACAGACACCCAATATCCATGGTGATCTTAACCACAAGGTTCAACTTCTGGGGATAAAGCTCAAAGAGACTGTATACTAGAGAATTTGAAAGTGCATTTAAATGATAAAAACCAGGGCATTGTGACTTAGTCATTCACTGAAATCTTCAAAAAGCATTTGTAGTCCACTTGTGCGGACAATGCACAGGGCAGTGTGGGGCACACACAGAACTGTAAGGCTTGGTCAGTGAATGGCTTCATAACGACGAACATCTCGTGGTTTTACAAGTGCGTGAAGAGGCTTATTACCAGGGATGACTGCCTGACAGGTGACTCTTAGGGACTGACAAAGGCATATCCTCTGGAGTCCATTGAAGGCACTAAGAAAAATACAACCAATGAACTACCCAAGAGTCGTTTTAAACAATTCCACTGACGGCCTAAAAAAAAAAAAAAAAATGCAAGAGAGGCAAGCAGTAAAAAGTATCCCTCTGAAGAGCCGAATGAGGTTCCAGGTCGCCATCCCTTGTTCTTGGCAGTTACCCACATTCACAGCAGGCCGGGTGGGGCTGGGCATACATACCTCTGTGTACTCTTTGTAGCTCCGGTTGATCTCTGACAGACTCTCCCGGGCGGCCTTGCTGGCAGGGGACATTGCGAAGGCTTGCTTCATTTTGCTGGCACCGTCTTGGAGGCGTCTTTGGATACAATAAGCTTCATAGAGCTCATCTACCTGCCGGGATCAACCAGGAAACACAGGGAGGTAAGTACTGATCACACTTGAAAGAAGTTACACAGGCCATTGTTAAGTGCTTAAGACACTGTTCCTGACCTCAAGGAGGAGACTCTTGGAGAAGTGTCATCCTTTTAGACAGAGACCTGTCACTTTCGTTTTAGCCACTATGATTCATTTTCTACTTCAAAGTAGATTTTACTCTAAGCCTTTTTTCCCAATTACACAAGATGCAAATGAACTTAACGTGGGTGGACGATGTGAGACAAATATGGGATAATGAAGATAGGAGCCTCCTATATATGCAACAAACAATAGTTTTACGCCGAGGTGAAAATTTTGTAGCACACTAGGCTATTATCACTGTATTTTAAGACAGAGTGTCACAAGGTGATAGTCACACATCCAGATTTAACATTTTTTTTTCTTAAAAAAGAACTAGATGCTATTTACTAAAAATGATTTTTGTCAAGTCTTGCTTGGCTCAACAATAAAGAGAGAAAATGAAGTTAGGTTATTCTTAAATTAGGGTGAAGCACAATTGTCAAAATTTATCAAACTGAACACTTAAGAACTGTGATATTTCTTGTATCTAAATTCTACCATAATTTAAAAAATAAATAGAAGCAATGGAAATGAACATTTTCCCTGCTACACCTCTACACCTATGCTTCTAAACGATCATATACCCTTTGTAAATGACTACTGATCACACTCGATAGAAGCGTGTTATCACTTAATGGTTCCCAAGCAGGGATTCTCAATCACCCAAGGATATTTTGACACCAGGGGACATTTGGCAACATCCGGAGACATTTTTCAGTGTCACAGCTGGGAGGTGCTACTGGCATCTAGTGACTGGTAGAGGCCAGGGAAACTGCTAAACATCTATAATGTAGTGGACAGTACCTCTACAACAAAGGATTATCTCCAAATAGCAGTAGTGCTAAGGTTGAGAAAACCTGTTCTAAACTCAATTCCTGATGATATTTATCTCTATAGTCTTATACTATTGTTTTCATTAAATAGCAACCTATCTTAGCCAAATGGAGTTAAACTTTAAGATAAAGGATAACTGTATTCATCTGAGCAGAAAATGGCCCATCTGCAGGCAAGCATCTGCCTTACCTGTAAGCCAGCAGTAGTTCTCATCAAATAAACTAATTAACTGACTCATTCAATTAAATATAATTTGTTAGGCATCCTGTGTATACGGTGCTGCAAAGAGAGTACTACCAACCTTTAATAACCACTGGGATTGCCATATCTAACAGTGATGCACTTAAGAAGGATAAACACACACCTGCCTAATACTCATTTTGTTTTCTTGCTTTTTTCAAATTAAACAGTGAGTAACTTGTCAAAGCTTGCCTGCCACATAAATACCTTCTGATGGATGTCATTAATAAAAATGCATGTCAAAAATAAAACTATTTTTGAGTTTAGCAGAAACAGAAGCAATTTCAGATCTGCCTGGGTAATAGATACCTTTCAAAGTGGGAACATACAAAGGCAGTAGCATATACATACAAAATCATAAAATTTTAAAAGGAAAAGATTCTTAGGATCATCAAGACTGAATACATACACCTCCCCAGTCCCACTTCACAGAGTAGAAAGCCAAGGTCCACATAGATGGTACAGCCCAGTGAATACGTGGCAGAGCTGGGACTAGAACCTAAGGCTTCTGACTCCTAGTAGAGAGATCTGCTAAACCCCACAGTCTCTCCACTTGGAAGACAGTCTGATGTACATGGGAACAGGAATTAGGACTGGTGTGATTCAGTAGCTCCCAATGGGAGACTTTTTCTAGGTTGTACCAGTATCTCCTGATGGTGTTCAGAACAAGAGATGATAGCCCTGCTCTCCACTAGACTGGCTGGGCCATCCATGAACTATTTGTAGGGTTCAGGGATGGGTGTCAGGGACCCTGACAAATTGGTGCATGTCTAGAGGGCACTGAAGATGAAAAGGTAGCTGGAAACCATAACTCACGAAGAGTGGAAGGAGCTACAGAAAGATTTAGGGAGGTACTGACAGCTGTCTTTACGTGCTTTAAAGGCCTTCATGAAGAAGTTTATGAAGTACCCAGTTGTATGTGGAACAACTGAGAAGTTAGGCAAGTATGATGTTTTTTTGTATGGTCAGTTTGGTTCAGTCTTATCTTTCACCAGACTATCCTGAGACTAAGCCCTCCACCAGGCATGCTGCACGTTACATGGGAATCTCTTAATCATATTTGTTGAACTGAAGTAGAGTCATAGCTGTGCTAGATTATTAGGCTCTCCAATCTCATTTCTTCTCCATCTTTACTGCCTGTTAGAAGACTTAATTGCTAATCAGCTTAGAAATCAATTCGATAAGAAATTCTCCACGGACTAGACGCTATACTCAATGGTATATTGATCAGTAATTAAGAAATAAAAAACAGGAAAAGACAACAAGAACTTCAATACCTTACTAATGTGAAACTCCAGGCGTCTCATGTATCTTTCAATCGTTTTAATTTGCTGGAATTAAAAGAAGAAGTTTGAAAAAGTACAGACATTTACAATTCAATTAATCTAGATGTGTGAGAATATCTTTATCACCTCATACTCAAAAGTACCAGAAAAGGCTAAATATTTCCCACCTATCTTTGTTGATATTTTGGAGATTCTCTAGTATTAATTTGGGAAGCATTTTTAAAAAATAGTGAATAAATATTCTGAGAGATGAACTTGAGTTGGTTATTGGAATCCTTGTATTTCACATCAAGGGAGGACCATCGAATGGAATGCATTGGATTTCTGGCAGCACAGTATCATATTGGAGTATAACTGAATTCCTTCATAACAACATATTTTATTAGCCTGAAGATAAACTTTTTCCCTCCACATTTTAGTGTCTCTGAAATTGAGGTGCATTTTGCAAGTGCCACTGCCTGTGCATTCTCAAAGATAATCACAGTTATTTATGTGTCATCACTTCATTTGAGTTATAAATATTATTATTACATGCATTAAATTTAATTACTCTTTCAAATGTTTGCAAACAGGTTATACTATGATTCAGCATTAAAGGCATTGTATATGAAAGGCATGGAGAGACAGCATCATATATAACTAAAAAAATTACATTTAAAATAGGCCTAAAAATTTTGTCACTAAGTATAAAAGACAAATTTGAAGTGAAAAGAAAGAACTGTGTCATAGTTTAACTGGAATCATTTTTTTTCTCTTAGTGGCACATAAAATAATGGTGTGTTTTTCAATCAAAGATGTCTTTGATTTGATGAAATATGATAGATAATATTTAGAGAGAAGACAGGGAAGAACTTCCAAAAACTTGGGAAGTTCTGAAACTTCTCAGCACACTGAGAAATCTTACAACCAGATGGCATTTTGATGAAAGTGACATTAAACGTGTATTCGATCTGCAGATCATAGTACTTATTCATCAAACTCACTAGATAAAATCATAAATTTTTCTGGGATTACAAAAATCATCAGTTCTCTAGGGTCTTACTGTTATCTATGAGAGGATCACTGGACTCTACTCAAGGACACAGGGTTTTATTTTTCAGTAACACCCCAACATGAAACAATAACTTACCTTGTCTAGGTCATACAGCACACCCTAAAATAAAAAAAGGAGTATCTGGATTAAAACATATCACCCTCAAAATTGTTACTGATATTAACAGAGAGATTTAGTCTGCATTTCTGCATTGTCAGTGAAATAATGATCAGCCTTGTAAAGTTCACTGGGTTTTTGATATTTGCTTTAAAAGAGTCAAGCTCTGGGTTATTTTAAATATCAGTAAGAGTACTTTTAATAGTCCCTATTTATTTGTACTCCATGTCTCCAGAATTCCATCCAGTGCTCTCTGCCCTTTGGGAGCATTAAGGATTTCACATGCTTTGAGTTCTCCTCTCTTACATATTGAGGAGCATATAAATTCATGTTCACTTTTTTTTTTAAATTGGGGAATTGGGGGAGGGGAACAGTGTTGGGGTGTTGGGAAGGGGACCAGCCAAGTTGTTGTTCTTCAATCTTCATTGTGGAGGGCGCCAGTCGCCATCTGGCTGCCCATTGGCAGCTTGTGGCCTTTAAGCTCAAGGTGCTGTGTTACAATCTTAGTTGTGGGTGGGCGTAGCCACCATCCCATGTAGGAGTCGAATCGGCAGCCTTGTTGTTAAGAGTGCATTCTCTATCCACTGAGCCATCTGGGTGGCAGCTCAGCTCAAGGTGCCGAGTTCAGTCTTAGTTGCGGGTGGGCATAGCCCACCATCGAACAGGCAGTCTTGTTGTTAGGAGCACGTGCTCTCACCAGTTGAGCCACCCTGCCACCTGTTGGCAGCTTAGTGGCAGCTCAGCTTGGGTGCAGTGTCACTGGCCCATGTGGGAATCGAACTGGCGGCCCTGTTGCTCAGAGCTGGGGCTTTTAAGCTAACTCTTAACCAACTGAGCCACTCAGTTGGCCCCACTTTTTAATTTTTTAAGATTAAATAATGTAACCATAAAATGTGGCAATGATATGTGTTAAAAAAAATACCTGCCTTCCTGTTTAAACATGTAAAATTGGTATTTATGACGAGTCCTTGAGGGTGGTAATGTGCTTTTCACAAATTGATTTTAAAGCGAGTCCATTTCCTGTGTGCTCACAGTATCACAGTGGAATTAGTGCTTCCCCACGTCCCCCATGGAGAAGGTTTTTGTGGAATGTTACATGTCTCCTTCCACTCACTATTGTTCTCCAAGGAGGGACATTGGTTGCCCACTGAGGATGTTCAAGAGCATTCAAAAACTCTGAAGCCCACGCCATAAGGAGCTCCACATAGATAGGGGCCATTTATTCTCTAACATCATTAGGATATAAAACCCTTAACTTCTATAAGCCTTTACCCACTAGTTATTGAAAACAAAACAACATGCATTTTAGCACATCTCATAAAAAAGAAAAAATAACAGATGTTAATGAATAGCTATACTTCCTGGGTATATGTAGACTTTTACTGGGCTTTCTGATGCCCTGAAATATTAAGATATTATCATTTAGAACTGAACAAAATAATTTAAAATCCTATATACGTTAGGAACACCTCTCTAACCAGACAAGTTATCACAATTCATTAGAAAAGAGGAAATTTGCAAGCATCTCAAAGAATGCGATGTGTAGTTCAACTGGCTCAAGGACTCCTCCAACTTCTCCTAAATTGAGCCTCCTTTCCTTCTCTGACATCACTACCTGTTACATTTTAAAAATATTGGAGATAAAGCTCAAGTTCTGGGTTCCCAATAATATGCTAGAGAAATTTCAACTTTTCATTTCCTTTTATTAGTCAAGGGAAGGGGTATAGGGAGTTGTTGGTTTTTTAAGTATTTTTTCCTGATTTTAAAGTTTATCTGCATAAACATGCTTGGAAAATACTTAAGCGTATCAGGAATAAAGCATTAAAATACACATCAGGAAGCAGATAGTACTTTGCTCCCCCCAAAAAAGAACACCGAGTTAACATCTTGATGACTGGGTTGTACCTACCAGGCGAGAGTTTCTTTTCATATCTTTTAATTGAGCTGTCAACTTGTCCAACTCCGTCTGGTGAACCTCTAGATATTCACTGCAAAGATAAGATGAGGCATAATCATGAACTTTGTGACTGTCAAGTGGAATCTGGTGTTGCTGACCTTTTCCTTCCGAAGAGAGATTAAGAATCTGAACCTCGCTCTGTGGAGGGTGGAGTTCGTGGGGAAGAGGTGCTGTATTTTCCCAATCTCTCAACATTACGAAAGCTCTAGCAATTGCATCTGATGATCATGCCCCCCATGAGGCTGATCAAAAATAATAACCTCCACGAGGCTGAAAGCCCAGAACAGAAAAAACAATGGGGAGGGAAAGGGCCTGAAAACTATGGAGTCCGTCCTAGGTGTGGGCTCACAGAATTCTCTTTAGTGCAATACAACACTGACTGTAGATGTGTCACCACACATTGGCAACGTTTTATTCTGGGTAAATAATCCCTATAATACACACATGAAGGTTTCAGAACCCGACTTCAGCAATCTTTAAAATATATCTGCATGTCCATCATGGTTTAAGTGGAATCCAATACTGTACAGAGTTCAATATAAACCCATTACACTTCCAGGTCTCCTTCAATGTTACGGACATCATGTTGAAACCCAATAAATTTCACATTTTGGGGACTCATTTAAGGCTTCTTTGATGATGGTACGAGAATAAAATATCTACTACAGAAATAGACATGTAAAAATTATCTCATCAACTGGTTTTACCTTTGACCACCACCTCCCCAACATTCTAGAAAGGAAAAAGTTTCAATGCATTGTTGGGTTTCATGTTCTTACTCAAGTCCACTTTTCAAGGCCCTGTAGACCTCTTCTACCCTTTTAGGTTGAGGCTCTTTGGGAGGGTTGTTGTTTTTGTGTCCTAAATTGTGCATTTTCTTCAGTTTGGCCTGAGGCTTCTTGAGAGCAGAGGTATTTTCAATGAAGGAGTTACATCTATGGAAAGAGAAAAGAAAAGCAGAAATTGTGAGTCTCAGGCATCCAAAAGGGCTTGACGAAAGAAATGCCTTGTAATCATCTTGTGTATGTATTTGTGTCTTTGGGGGAAGGTAACATTCCCTTGTACATTAATAGATCTGAGCCATCCTACACGGAGTTTCTTGATATTAGATTTAACTGCTGAAATCTGGAAGCTTTGTTGGGTAGCGGCTTCCCCGAGTCAAAGCCTAGCTTCAGGTAATGTGCACTCTGAGTAAAAAGATATCATGCCACTGAAACCTCCTAGGAAGCCAAGGACAAACCCTCCCAGGTGGAAATAATGAACAGGCAGAAGGATATAAACCAACTAAAAAATAAGTGCATTAGGCAACAGCAAGTACAAGCATCTATTTAATTTGACTAGGATATAAATGAATGCCTTTTTGATAAAGCGCCATAAGCACGACAAATGGCTAATTTTGTATATGTTAAAGTAAAGAAAAGCACTGAGCTGGACTGACAGCCTTTTCTTTAGCTTTATTTTTATGAAGCACATTATGTTTAGGTATAACATAAAAGTCAACATCTCTGTTAGTGGCAGGGGGGCAGCGCAGTGGTGAGATGGACACTTGATGACTTGCTCTCAAACTACTGATCTGACTAGGAGACCAAGAGGCCCAACTGCTCCCTGATCCAGCTGGTAACTGAAAAGCGTGACCTCTGAGTCATTAGGTACATGCTATGCACCTCCCAGGTTAATTATTAGTTGTTTTCCTCTGCCATCACTGCATGCACCAAAGCGGACAATACAGGTCAAGGCACATTAGGCCCCTCAGAGCATAAGACCTTTATGATGTCAGAAAGTCTGAAGACAAACTTTACTCCATGTTACCTATTTCACTGCCTGTGATTTCTTTCTTGTGTTCTCCGAAGTCCTATTTTAGATGAAGGGAGATTCCAGGGAAACTAGAAGACTAACTTTCCCATGGCTGAATGACATCTGCTCTGCAGGGGCAATCTTTATCTACTGCATAACTTCATACCTAACAATCTCCAAAATCTGGATGTGATGGAAAATTACTTCAAAAAGGGGTGTGTGTATGGCAGGGAGGTGATTTCAAATTCTATTAATTCTATGGTACTGGCATAAAAACAGACACATAGATCAATGGAAGAGAATAGAGAGCCCAGAAATAAACCCATGCTTATATGGGCATTTAATCTATAACAAAGGAGGCAAGAATATACAAGGAGGAAGGATAGTCTCTTCAACAAGTGGTGTTGGGAAAACTGGACAGCGCATGCAAAAGAATGAAGCTTGACTACTATCTTACACCATATGCAACAATTAATTCAAATTAAAGATTTGAACATAAGGTCTGAAACCACTCACTCCTAAAAGAAAACATAGGAGATAAACCACTCGACACAGGACTTGGTGATGATTTTTTTGAATCTGACACCAAAAGCAAAAGCAACAAAAGCAAAAATAAACAAGTGGGGCTATATCAAACTAAAAAGCTTCTGCACATCAACAAAATAAAAAGGCAGCTTACTGAATGGAAGAGAATATTTGCAAGTCATATATCTGATAAGGGATTAATATCCAAAATATATAAACAGCTCATACAACTCAATAGCAAAACACCAAACAATTTGATTAAAAATGGGTAGAGGACCTCAGGAGACATTTTCCCAAAGATATACAGATGTCCAACAGGTACATGAAATGGTGTTCAACATCACTAATCATCAGGGAAATGCAATTCAAACCCACAATGAGATATTACTGCACACCTGTTAGAATGGCCATTATCTAAATGACAAGGGATAACAAGTGTTGGTAAAGGTACAGAGAATAAGAAAACCCTTGCACACTATTGGTGGGAATGTAAATTGGTGCAGTCACTATGGAAAACAGTATGGAAGTTCCTCAAAAAAAATTAAAAATAAACTCCCATATGATCTAGGATTCCCATTTCTTCTCGGTATTTGTCCAAAGAAAATTAAAACACTAACTTGAAAAGTTATACAAGACATGACCAAAAAATACCATGAATGTTTAAATAAAAAAATTTATCACAGTAAAAGACACATTGTCCTTAATTCCCCTCCAAATACTCCCCCTTGCTTCGAACACACTTATCCTGTTGTTCTTGCCACTTTCTGAAGCAGCTCGGAAGTCTGCTTTCTCGAGTGTCTTTAGTTGGGTTGTCGTGATTACCTCAATGTCTTTCTTTTAAAGACATATCAATTGTTTTTTTTTTTTTAATTGGGGAACAGTGTGTTTTTCCAGGACCCATCAGCTCCAAGTCAAGTAGTTGTTTCATTCTAGTTGTGGAAGGTGCATCTCAGTGGCCCATGTGGGAATTGAACTGGCAACCTTGGTGTTATGACCACTGCACCCTAACCAACTGAGCTAACCAGCCGCCCTGGCCTTGATGTCTTGAATTGATTCAAAACATTTACCTTTCACAGTCATTTTGATTTTGGGGAAGAGCCAGAAGTTGCACGGTGCCAGATCCGGTGAATATGGTGGATGAGGACACGCCGTAATATTTTTATTTATTATTTATTTTTTTATTAGTTTCAGGTGTACAATACAAGGTAATAGTTAGACATTTATACCACTCACAAAGTGATAACTGCCCTCCCCCAATCTACTACCCCTCTGATATTGTATATAGCTGTTACAATTCCATTGACTTTATTCCTTATGTTGTACTCCATATCCCGTGACTACATGATATATTAAATTATAGTTGACATTCAATATTATTCAGCTTCTGCTTCAAGTGCACAGCACATCAGTGGTCAGACATCTACACAGTCCATGAAGCAGCCTCCCTAATAAGACAAGTGCCCATCTGACACCCTACAAAATGTAGTTTTTACTTGACAGAAATTGCCATACTAGAAGTGATGTGTGACACGAAGCCTTTCCATTGTAAAAAAAATATGGTGAATGCTGCTGCCGAGTGCCATCCAACAGAAAGGCAGGGATCTTCAATATGGGAAGTGGCATGTCGAACCTTAGTAACAGTATGTGACAAGTTTCAACTTGTTCAGTGCAGTCAGTCGCGTGTGAACCATGGTTTAGAGAACGTGTGTTTTAAAGTGTGCCGTAAATCATCCTCCATCATGACAATGCTCCGTGTCACACATCACTTCTGGTGTACGGGAATTTCTGTAAAAAATACCCCACATTATGGTGTGTTCTCACCCACCTTATTCACCAGACCTGGCACCGTGAGACTTCTGGCTCTTCCCCAAAGTCAAAATGATTCAGGACATCGAAGCAGCCACGACAGTCACGAAAGAGAACTTATAGAACTGCTTCAGAAAGTGGCAAGAATGATGGGATAGGTGTATTTAAAGTGAGGGGAAGTATTTTGAGGGGGATTAATGACATTATGTCTTTTACTGTGATAAATTCTTTTTAATTTAAACATTCACAGTATTGTTTGATCACACCTTGTATGTATCCCCATGTTCACTGCAGCATTATGGAAGCAAACAAAATATCCATCAATAGATGACTGGATAAAGATGATGTGGTACATATATACAATGAAATATTATTCAGTCATAAAAAGAATAAAATTTTGCCATTTGCGACAACGTGGATGGACCTTGAGGGCATTAATGCTAGGTGAGATAAGTCAGAGAAAGACAAATACCTATGATCTCTTATATATGGAATCCAAATAAAACAAACAAAAAACCCCCAGAAGCCCATAGATACAGAACAGGTTGGTGGTTACCAGAGGAGGCAGTGGGTGGTGGGCTAAATGGATAAAGGAGGTCAAAAGATAAAAAGGAAAAAAGGTAGCATTTCAAACTAGAGAGAAAAGAACTACCATGTATGGTGTTGCAATGAATATATGAAAAGCCTTTATTGTTCTGTAAAAAAAATACGCAAATATCCACCCCCAAAATACATAATAGACATGCCTTAACTGGTTATTCCCAAAGCAAATACAAAGGGGGAAAAAAAAAACTTATGAAAGGATATTCATTAGGGATGATATAAGACATGGAGAGGGTGCTTTTTTCCCGCCATCTTGGGGCCTGTGGAGGCCTGCTGGGAACAGGACTTCCAAAACAACAAATATGTCTGGAAGGCTGTGGTCCAAAGCCATTTTTGCTGGCTATAAGCGGGGTCTCCGGAACTAGCAAGAGCACACAGCTCTTCTTAAAATTGAAGGTGTTTATGCTCGAAATGAAACTGAGTTCTATCTAGGCAAGAGATGTGCTTATGTGTACAAGGCAAAGAGCAACACAGTGACTCCTCGTGGCAAACTGAACAAAACCAGAGTATCTGGGGAAAGGTAACTCGTGCTCATGGAAACAGTGGCATGGTTCGTGCCAAATTCCAAAGCAACCTTCCTGCCAAGGCCATAGGGCACCGAATCCATGTAATGCTGTACCCTTCAAGGATTTAAATTTACTGAGAAGTAAATAAAATTGATTTCTTCTCTTGTAAAAAAAAAAAAAAAAAAA